ACCCCCGGCTTTGGTCACCAGCCACGGAACCGGGCAGAAATACATAAACCTTCATTTCCAGCTCTTCCCTCTGACTCTTCTGTTTGTTGCAAGGCATCCTGGAAAAGGGACGCGGTGATGTCATGCGCTTACCTCCTTGCTGACGCGATGACTACAGAAATAGTTGGGAGCCCCAGCTGGGGCTGTGTCTTTCCCAGTTGTGGCTGGGGCGGGGGCTGTGGGCGCTGTCCCCCGGCACCCCCTCGGCATCCAGCCCCCTGCGTGGGGGGCACCATCTCTAAGGGGGGTTGGTGGCTTCTACTTAACAGCACCGACGCACGGAGCTGAGGATGGGATGGCGTCGCGTGGGCGCGCGGAAGAGGTGCGAGGTGTGCTCTGAACCAGCGCCCGAGCTTCCCGGCGCTACCGGTTTGCTCCGCAGTCCCGTATGCCCAGCGAAGGGGGGCAAGGCGCTGGTCCCTCCCGAGCTTTGCCGTAGCCTAGCTCTGCCTGCGCGGGGCGTGCTGGCCCGGCTGGGGACGGCAAGAAGGAAAACACCCACCTTCCTTCTTCTGGCTGCCCAGGGGCTTTCCCCGGGCTGGGGTCTTGTTCGTACCTCTGTGTTAAGCCGTTTTCACTATGACACCTCCTCCCTCGGGGAATGGCTGCCTCATTCTGCAGGTGAAAGACCAGAGTTAGTTATAGGCAGCTCTGTGGTGAGAAATGGTATAGAAAAAGGTTGAAATCATCCCGAGAGCAGGAAATGGTAGCTGAGGTGACTGAGAAAACATTTTTGTTGTTCTTTTGCACGTGCAAGTGGTGGCATGTCTGCTCAAACGTGTTAAGGGTTTGCTGTGAGAAGGTGTCCCCGAGCATCCCTGCAACCGCATCCTCCTGGGTGGGGGACCCTGTCCCATGGTCAGGTCGAGGACTGGTGGAGGTGTGGTGGGCTGCTCGTGGCTCTCCTGTTCTCCTCACTGGACACATTAGCTGGTTTTTGTCTCAGTTTATCTCTGTGACAGGGTTATATGCGATTGGATTGTGCATGTGCATTGGAGTTCAGGCGTTCCTTTATTTTTTAATAAAAGCTGCCTTAAATCTTCTGGCAGTACAGATTTCTGCAGCAAAATGGCTAGAGGTGTAAAAGTTTCAAGGAATTGAATGATGTTATCATTAAAAATAGTGGAAAACATATCATGCCTTTAGAGAAGGTAAAAGTGCTGCTTCTCCGTAATGAATTAGAGTAAAATAGAAACAGGCAAAACCAAGTGTTGTAAAAAGCACTTGTGTGTGTGTGGGAGAAACACAAGACAAACCACAAAACCAAATGTGCTGTCTTTGGTAATTCTTAAAATGAGTTTTTCAGTAGTATCGTTTTATGGGAAACTGACTTTTCTGTTGTTGTCGTTGAGGATAAAAGGGACCTCTCCAGAGCTGCAAATTTGCAGAACTCTAGCTCTGTGTTGCAGCTCGAACTGCCCACTAGCATTAATAAAATACTTCGAGGGCTCTGTTCAGCTCCCGTCGAAATCAGTCGCTGTTATTATGGAGCCCCAAGGCACAGCAATGCATGGCGTGGGTGAGCCCGGGGCCCGCAAGGCAGAGGTGTAGTGGCACTGGGGATACCGGTGGTGAGCTTTGTATTCCAGACGTGGAATCACAGAACAGTTTGGGTGGGAAGGGACCTTTCAAGGCCGTCTAGTCCACCCCCCCAGCCATGAGCAGGGACATCTGCAACTCGATCAGGTTGCCCAGAGCCCCGTCCAACCTGACCTGGGATGTGTCCAGGGATGGGGCATCGACCACCTCTCTGGGCAACCTGGGCCAGGGCTTCACCACCCTCATGGTGAAAAATGTGTCCTTTAAATCTAGTCTGGATCTCCCCTCTTTTAGTTTAAAACCGTTACCCCTTGTCCTATCGCTACAGGCCCTGCTACAAAGCCTGTCCCCATCTCTCTCCTCAGCCCCTCTCAGCGTCCCCCGGGACCCTTCTCGGCTCCGGGCTGCCCCCCCCCAGCCCCCCCAGCCTGTCCTCCCAGCAGAGCTGTTCCAGCCCTGGAGCATCGCTGGGGCCTCCTCTGGCCCCGCTCCAGCAGGTCCGTGTCTCTCCTGTGCCGAGGGCTCCAGACGAACACATGTCAGATGAGGCTGAAACCCGTAAAGTAACGGTGTCCTGGGCCCTGGCCTCGGTCCGTAGCCTGGTGCCGAGTAGCTGGGCAGGAAAAATCTGCTGCGCGGTGCCGGCGCGGCGGCAGGGATCCCTGCCCACGTGCAAAGTGCTAGAGCAGGGCAGCAGAGTAACGCTGGATAACGTTGGACGTGGCACGGGGGAACATCGGGGATCTGAGGATGGGAGGACATGCAGGATGTCTCTCGGGGGTGAGGTGGAACTGACCCCCCTGCATCTGTCAGCAGAGGTAGCAGCACCTACTTCGTTATTATAATATCCAGCCGGGGGCCCAGAGCTAATTGCAGCTCTAAATGACTTTTATTATGCTGTGGTTGCTCCTTGCCTGCTGTATAGAAACCAGATGCTCAGGTCATTAAATAGATATAAGCCAGGTGCTGACTGCCTTATTTAAGCAAAATACGAATTGATTTCCTGCCGGAGAGAGTGTGGTCATATATATGCCAGCACCCGAGAGTGGGACGAGGAGGCTGGGGAGAATGGTGGCCATTGTGGCTCGGGGACCGCTGGTGAGGCTTTCAGTATCGCTTTGAGACTTGGCTGATGGATTGACTGGATACAGAGCTGCTGGGGGTGTGGGGGTGCTTACTGTGCCCCAGAGCTGTTCCCCGATATGTATAGTGCTGCTATACAT